GGTCTGTATGTGGGATCCGAACCCTCGGCGGGAGCGCCGCCATGCTCTCAAGCGGCGCACTGTAGCAGTGCGCCACCAGGCCGGCCCTGAATACATGTTTTTAAATGAGGAAACTTTCATTTATTTTTCCAAATGATTTATCACCTGTGAAAACTCTTTTGCCTCTTTGTGCAATACACAGATCACCTGGGAAGATCAGATGGCACAATGGTCACTGGCTAAAAACATGGGCTATGGAATAAGAGAGGCCTGAGTGAAGTCCCAGATCAATTACTAATAGCTGTGAGTATAAGCAGGTTTCTCAACCTACCATGTCAACAGTTACTTCTGTAAAATGCATAAGTGAAAATAGTTTTTAATCTATTAGGATTGTTCTGTGGATTAAGTGAAGCAACGTATATAAAGAACACAGAAGTTGGCACATAGAAATGTTAACTAAATGTGTACTAATATTATAATAACAATCTTTGCTTGTCCACACATTTTTTCTTCATATTGAACTTGTCCTAATCAGCAGGTGCATTTCCTCTTCAATATTTAATTTTCGATTTAAGTTGTGACCCTGTCCTTACTCCATTTGTAGTTATATTTGTTCCCTTAAAAACACAATCTCTCTCTCTCTCTCTCTCTCCCTAATTTCTCTCTCTCTGCCCTCCACCCTCTTCTTCCCCGTCTCTACCTCTCTCCCTCATTTGCTCTAAATCTTGCTCTAAATTTTCTTTTTTAAAATCTTACCACCAACTCCACATAGTCAGTTGGGAAAACATAATCTTCTGCTCCTGGAGACAATATGCTGAATGTTTCATTCCCTCCCCAGGAATGTGTATTCCTTCTTAAAAGCTATTTTATTCCTAGCTCAAAATAATAGTCAAAGCATTAGACTATGGTTATACAAGATATTACCTTTGAGGAAAACTGGATTTAGAGTACATGAAACCTTCTTGTATATTCTTTTTACAATTTCCTGTGAATATATAAGTATTTGAAAATAAAAAAAAATTAATTCATCAAAGAAAATTATTTCTGTAAGTGTTCTCATCTTCCTTGTACTTTTTTGTATAATTTCTTAGAATTAACATGTGTTGGGAAAAAGTAAAATGTTATAAAAATAAAAATAAATACATTCACATAGATTACATTTCTTAAACATGAAAAATAAAAACTATAACTAAAACTACAAATGCTTGGGAAAATACAGAATATTTTTTCATGGGGTTGGAGGTTAGGAAGATAGTCCAAAGAAAGGGTTTTTTAAAAATAAAAGAAGCCATAAAGGAAAACTCTTAACAAATTTCATTGTATAAAAAATTTTAAACTCCAATAGAATAGATGTTAAAACGTATGTGACAGACTAGGAGAAAATATTTGCTACAAATATAGCAAACAAAGTCTTAATATCCCTAATATAAACAGTTCCTATAAATAAATGGAAAAAATATTTTCTTAAAAAAGAAAGCAAAAAATAGGCAAAAAAATACATACAGACAATTCACAAAAGAAGAAATACTGATAGTCAATACCCACGCAGCCCTTCTTATATTCATAAAAAATGCAAATTAAGTAAAAATAAAGTATTATT